TGATTGTCATATAAAATAACCTGTTTTTCATCCGTTACAGTATTCAACAATGCTTCGTATGCCTCGCTTAACAACTTATACCTTTCTTCAATTTTACGTAACCGAGCCGAAATAACACCAGTTGTTTGACTTTTATTAATAACAATTTCATTAGTATTTATGAACCAGTCACACTGTATTTTAAATTTATTTTCTACAGTTTTAGACGCCATTTTGTAATCGTGGAACTCGCGTGAAAATAAGTAAATTTATGAATTATAACCGATTATACAAATTATTAAATAAATTTCGAGTTTACCGTACCGTATACCAAAAAATATGAAACAATAATCCGGCTCGAAGGACCAAAATAATTATGTTCGCGGGAACACCTTCAATAGCCCATGAGCACAAGTTATTTTATTCGGTCGCCGATCCTATCGTTTCTATTGGTAATTTATTTTGTCCAGACATAGGATTCCCCACTAAGAAGTAAACCACTCACCTTAACACCGACAGCTTCAGGAGATAATGGGTCGATCACCGATCGACTGGCCAAAGTTCACAGTAGTGCACTGGTTTCCAAATAAACTGCAATCGTCTTATGTATGGCGAAAACTGTTCTTTGCAATGTTTATTCACAATTAAACACAATATAATAAAAATAATCCGATATATCACACCGAAAACCGTTAATTTCAACAACAATAATTTTATCACACTCTCATGTATGTTTCGCGCCACCGAACGTTCGAGAGTCTTTTTTTTTTTTTACTGGCCGCGGCATCCGTCGCCGTTGGGTCGTGGATTTGTAGTTTACCCACATATTGAGAAATACTATGCCTGAACAATGTCCAACAATTGCTAGCTGAATGAGTTAAGAATGAAGCAGAGTGTTTTTCATAATATCCTAGTATATCCGTTGTCGGATGAAGCTTGAATGTTATTCAGCATGGCATAAAAAGTTATGTTAAAACTGGTATGAAGAATAAGATTAAAAGCCTATAAAAATCAAGAATACAAAAAGAAATCTCATAAAACCACAGCCACATTTATTTTTTATTTTTGGTATACTATATACGCAAAGAATTTTTTTTTCCTTGCCCAATACATTTTTTATACAGATAGATTAAATAAATTGCTAAAATAAATGTCGATGTTCGGACTGGCATGGTAGATTTATAGGTACAGCCTATTTATACTGGTACGATTCTCACCAATCGGCAAATCCGTTTTCACCTAAAATTATTTCTTTTCACTGATTTATTGCTCAGGGAAATAAACTTTTACAAACTTGAAATAGGGATCTGAGGAAACGCTAACTTGTTTTGCAATTACTTTGGGTTTCGTTAAATTTGTACAATGAGAATTCCACAATCAGCTAGGTAACTTTGTCCGAGGGTGAAACTTGGCATAGTACCTCTGAAATTAAGGACTTTTATAACTTTAAAAGATATCACGCTTAATTATTCAATGGCATGCCGATTTTTTACTCTTTAAGATGGGTGCGAAATTATGGGTTGAATACATCACTCATCACTCGTTTGCATTTCTTTTATTATCTGTTTACCCACTAAAAGGAGTGGGGTCTTAATATTCATTTAATTATGTTACACGGATTACCGACTTATATGTACATATATAAACTATCAATGTAAACTAACCAATTGACTAGTTTCTAGTAAATCAGTTGTATGATACAGATCACAGACAAACTAACAGACAAATAAGTGGTATTCTAAAATTCTTTTTTTCAATATTGCTTGGAGAACTTTGGTAGATCGTGCATAAAATTAAAAATTTAATGTGTGTTAATTACCTGTGTGTTATCACAATGACATATAAATAAAATCATTTTGTTACTTTTCCGAAAAAATAATGTATTTTGATAAGAATCGACTAACACTCATTGATCCTAATTCCTAAGGAAGCTTCTTGTCTTAACCCACATGAGAAGACAACTTAAAAGATTAAGTATTAGTGTAATAAATGGCATTCCTTTTTCAGTCCCACAAAGTTATTGGTGCCTCCCCCGGGAGCAAAACTTCTGAATGTTTAAAGATAAATTATCAAGATATCTGTGAGATACCCAATCTGGAAACTTTTCGTAATACGTTCGGGACATTATTAAACTTGCGCCTTTTTATACTTATTTATTATGGCTTTGAACTTTGATTAAATCTAGGTACGAGTACTACTATAAGTGAATAAGCTCACAAAGTATATATACATTCTGAATTTATTTTATATTAGAAATAATATATAATAATTATATAATCTTTATTGCACACGATACAGATAGGAAACAACACGAAATTACACGGTATAAGAATATAATGAACACAAAAGGTAGCCTTATTGCTGAATAGCAATCTCTTCTAAGCAACCTATGGAGGAGAATAATAAAAGAAAAATATATTACAAAAATATGTATAGTACTATATATTTCACTTTTTTTAACTATAATATGTATCTTTATACACTCCGAAACTATTGTATCCATTTTAAACATTCTTCCACTTACATATATATGTGTGTGTGTGTTTTTTTTAATTTTGCATTGTAGTGAGTAGATAGTCAACTCAACATATTTTTGTGGATGAAAATGATGAATTTAGTTATAAATCTGTTATTTGCTTTCCACTGTTTTTGCGATACCATGCCTTCACTGTATTCGAATTTGTAATAGGAATGCCATTTGATAATTTTAAAGTAAACCTTACCAAGTTTACGATTCGCATTCGCATATCGCATTCTTTACCAGATAGTCGATTCATATGGTGACGGAATGTGTCGCATACGCAGGTTTGTTGCGTTCATGCCCAAAAAGTGGACATTCTCTTTTAATCGACATAAGACTATGATCAAAAGAGTACAAAAGCATGAATTTTTCACAAAATTTAAAATTGCTTATTGTAAAGATTGCTTCTTTAGAATCTTTTTTAGAATTAGAAATCCTTGATCTAAAGAAACCTGAGAGCAATTAGACAAGGCGCTCGCTTACAAAATGAATAGGGCACCTGCCACATTGTATTTTACGTTTCAAATATAAAATATCTAATTTATGAAATTACTCTAGCAGTGGACTATTATAAAAAGTAATATAACCAACGACTTTCAGATTTTATAGCTGGAATGTAATGGCTGGTATAAAATTAAGAAATAATATACAAATTACTGTATGTACACCGCATAATCATTTGCTTCGACGTTAAATTGCTTAACCTATATTACTTTTTTTTTTGTATTTTGATTACTAGTTCACAGATTCGCGGATTCATAAAATTAATTCAAATAATTAAGTAAAAATATTTTTTTGAACTCACACTAGTTTGTTTGCAAACGTACTATTATGAAAATGTAAAAGTTTTGTAGTTAAAAAGTATTTTCAGTGTCTTGTTTTTTTCATTCGAATTGAAAGCCAGATTGGAGTGTCGGGAACAGATGTATTATTATTTCAACAAGGGTAACAAGTATTTTATTAGTAAGGGTGTTAGTCTACCAGTTCACCCATTCAGAAAATCTGAAAATAATTAAAAACAAAATTAATTTACAATCTACCAAGACGCTGTTGTCGTATCTGCAATAAAAATAAAATAAACCCAGGACTAGACTGCCAAAGTTGGAACTGGTGGTAGATTACGATAACCAGGGGTAAATAAATAAGTCAAATGTATTTTTAAAATAATATGATAAATGTAAACGTTGCCATAATATATATACTTTTTTGTATTGTGAATGTTTCCAATAGTATTGTTTTTTGAAGATACTTTTACTTAAAAAGACAATCAACACCTTAATCTTATGTAAACACGGAAACTGTAAAGGGTCCGAAACGTCAATAAAACTAAAAAGAAAACGCGATGAAACCGCTTAAATGCTGTTTTATTTAAACAAAATATCTAAACATTATGAATAAAATTGATTTACTATAAATGTAAATCGAATAAATCAGTAAAACTTAATGAATATTTACCAAATTCTTTAAAGCATAAGGTAACCACCATATATTATAACCTTTATAAAAACAACAACAATATTTTGTACGACATCCGTACAGTCGCGTACACAACAGATTAGCGGGAATAATGCATTCGAGCACCTTACACAATCCACCCCTACTTTAATGCGGACATATCCTGCCTGAATAATGAAATTCCGCGACTTCTCTTGTTGAATGCGTAATAAATAATGTAGTGGATAACGGTAGGGAACATTCAAATCTTGGTAAGATCTTGTACTTTTTTTGCGAGTAGCAAAGTAGAGTTGAGATATCACACGACGACGTCCCACTTGTGTAATTTTTCTATATAGCTGTGACGTAGTGAGACCCCACTCCTAAATATTCATGCCTTATTATTAGTAATATCTTTATATCGGACTGATGGACTTAATTGTTTTTTTTTGACCATTCATACTGAGATTCTTTATATTATTCACCATTATTATTCCACTATGCCAATGATTTTCTGCGATCAGCATGCATAACGTTCATTTCGTGTGTTTTAAGCTTGAGCTGCGTCTGTGCGGGGGTGTTTTATAGACAAAGTTTGCTGTTTAAAACGGCCGTGGATGCGTTCTGAATCACCAATGAGAACATTTCTAGGATGCAAACACTTAATTCAAAATAAAATTAACAGTTAACATTCAGTTTTACAAACTCTGTTTCTGAGTAAATAAATAACTATTTGCTAAATTGAAGTTTAAAATACACTTTGTACAATAAAAAAAAAAACTGATTCATGAAAGCCTCTAAAACGTCGTAAATAATTTACGACGTTATGAACAGGACTGTTTGTTTCTTTCAGTACACTCGAACGCACATTACTTTATACGTATGAGATATTTAATAATGGTTTTCTTTCTTTACAGCTGAATGTGCTCCTACGTTAGCCCCTTGGAGACCTATGGCCGAACTGACAACCATCGAGAACATCCACCACTCAAACAAAGTAGAATCCCACGCCATCTATGGTATAAACGATATCGTCCACTTCGAAGACAATGACCTTGTCATGCGCGATTCAAACAAATTCGACGACTTCAACAAAATGGACAACTCTGTGAATCAATTTAAAAAGTACAAAGAATATAATGATAACAAAAAAATAAAACTCGAAGTTGAAAATCAAGATAATAGAGTCGATATTGATGGTGATAATTATGTGAAAAGTGATGATGGAAAACTGATGAAATTGGATAGAGATGATGTGGCGTGTGAGTGTCAACACGGCGGCGGGTGTGTGGGAAATGTCTGCCTATGTCCTTTGGGTTATGCCGGTGACAAGTGTGAAATCACTTTGGATTTGAAGGTTGGTCTCTATTTTATTGTTTCTAATAAGTTAACAACAGCATTTTCTGGAATAAGTAGCTTTTGAGATAAATATTATTTTTTACTTATTTAAAGTTTGAAGTCGGTTCTATTTTTTTTAAGGTTTTTTCATGATTTTTAGTGATAGTGATATATTTTCTGTTTTTATTAGGTAGCACTAAAAATATTAAATATCTATATAAATAAAAAAGGCCAAACATTAAAACCTGTGTGATTTAGCTGTAGTCGGATTTAATATTTTATACTTACATAGTATGAGTAGTCGTATGGCACAACAGTTTGTTTTGTTATGATAAGTGGCATACGACTACGTTGTCCTTTAGTTATCGTTATTATAATATAGCTATTGCTTTAAAATAAATTTCTTGTTTCAAACTTTTTAAAGCATTATTTATCTGTAGTCGGAATTTAGTTTTGAACATATTTTTTTTATTTAATTAATTTCCGGGTGTATTTAACAAAATGACAAGCGAAAGTTGTCAATTTATTTTTGAAATGTGCTAATTAAGCCCTTTCATTTAATACTTTACACGGAATGATTGAATAATATATATTTTAGTTTACTTACTTTACTTTAAGACGCTTCTAATGATACCTCATTTGTCCACCTGAAATAAGTAGTTTCGAAGTTATAAGGAAACAGATGAACATTCTTATATACTTTCATACATACCGGCCAAAATCATAACCCTCTTTTTCGCTTCTGCCGTAGTCGGGTAAAAATATTCAAGTCTTAGAAAAGACGATCTGGTTAATTTGCTTGACATATTTTTTTTCGATAATTCAATTTAATTGCTTGTTTGTTTGCTTCGGATATGCTCCGAAACTGTTTGGCCGATTTATAAAAGTCATTCGTATACGGGAAGCTACATAATACGCATATATAATGGCTACAAAGTCGCGCGAAAACAGCTAGTTTGATAGAAGTTGGTTCACAATTCAAGAGGAAATCGATTGACGTACTCGATTTTTACATTGATAAAAATATACATACATCGTGAACATAGAAAAGCCTCCTTTTGGATTTTGAAGTCGGTTAAAAAAAGAAGCATTGTATAATGTTAGTTAATAGATATATTTACCTTTTTACTTGAAAAAAGACATTTCAAGTGCTAACGGTATACTTTCGTAGCAAGCCAGCGTTCTTTAAATAATGTTTGGAATAATCTGTCCAAACAGCCAGAAGATAAATTTTTTACAAATATTTTTAACTTTAAGATAGATCATTGAACATTTTTATTCAACATGTATTTTTTTATTGCAGGTCCCAAGATTTAACGGGTCCTCATATCTACGGTTGCCTGGCCTAGGAAACACTGCGTTGTCATGGCTTGATATACAAGTAAGATAAACTTATCCATAAGAAATGATTAACGATAGAAATCATTTTTTTCGTAGGTAGGTACAATAACAGTACCACAAACCCAGATCCGAAGCAGTATAGTAGACTTTTACAATATACCTTGTAAATATTTTTACATTGACCCGATATATTTTTATATTATATAATCAACAAAGAAATTTTTAGAAGAACTTTTATTGCTCATTAATTAAGTTAATTAAATAATAAAAGTATATTTTTCTTTATCTAAGGTATATACAGTATAAAACAAAATCACTTCCCGCTGTCTGTACGCTGAAATCCTTTAACTACACAATTATTTTTAAGAGTTTCCATCAATATACAGAATAAGTGGAAGATTTTTACGTAAAATACAGTAGCACGTGGGCGAAGTCGTTATCGAAAGCTAGTTTTACTATAAATTACATTCTATAAGTTACTAATAATCTTTATTACATTTATAATTATAGTCTGTATTGAAATTAAAATATTTTCGAAAACGAAGAGAATAGTTTGTTATATCAAAATAATTGCTACTAAATACTCTACAAGGAGAATTATAAATTCAGAATGGCAAAACATGCTTTGTTTTGCTGTATTCTCGGAAATGATCAGTGTTCTCGGATAATCTTACAACTTGAATGTCGTTGAAAATTCACAACATAATATTTTTCATACTTTCTTAGAAAGTAAAGACAGTAAATGAACCAAACTCTTAAGTAGAGTTTTCACATAATTTTCAGGCACGGCTAAGTTTTGAGACCTTTTAAAAGTTGCTCCGAAAAATAACTTTGCGTAAGTGAATTATACGTGATGTGGAGTGTGTTTACATTTTCGTGGAATATTTAAGTTAACGCTAAATAAGGAAAACATTTTAGAGGTCCCGTACTTAAAGTGTGCCAATGAGATAATATATAATAATATCCATCCGCTATCGGAGAGATTTAATCTCGGAGAGAGTCGAAATAGCGCAAAGAGGATTTCGTACAAACACTAAATTGAAATACCGGCCAATTGCTAGTCGAGCTTCTGTATGAAGAGATTCATACCATTATCTATAAAACTACACAAATTATCATTGATTAGTGTATCAAAAGTATGATGACAAGCCATATTTACTAAGAAAAATCGACAAGAGACACAACAGTAAATATGTTTGCGCTAATAAACTCAATTGTTTTGATAGATGAATTTATTGACTTCACAAATTGAAAGTAGTATAGCTCTTTAGCGTGAGAAAGAAGAGAAGTGAATGAAAAGAAAATATAACTGAATAAATCATTAGTGAGAGTACGCTGTTTCTGCCACTAAATATGTAGGCGATAGGCGTTTCAAGTAGACATTTTATCTTTCAATATCAACGAAAAATGTTACTATTTTTACGCATGTAAATTTCAAAGAGTATTCAGATTTTAATGTCCAATAATTTTAACATTAACCAATTTACAAACTCTACTTCGCCGTTGGAACTTTAATTCTATTTCGGAACGCGGAAACTTTCATCCATTTCGTTCGCCACATCAATACCGCAAGATATAAAGTTTAACAACTTTATATCGTCCGCTCCAACTGATCTCGATTTCAGAATCCGATCACTGTTTAAAGTGTAAATTTTAGCGAAACAGAAGAATTTTTAGTAAAGAATAAGGTCTATAAATATACAAATTATATAATTTTGATTAAAGATTAGCTATAAAAGAATTGTAGAATTAGAATGGTGACATAAGTCTAGTAATTTTTATCCTTAATCTAATACACTGAATTATTGAAATCCCTTTTTTGATAGGTACTTGACATCGCATCGCGCTATTGGTGTAATAAATTAATTGTTTGGTATTACCTTTATCAATGTAATCAGATAGACTGCGTGCTTAGATGTTTTTTATTTTACATTTATCTCACAATTTAAAATTATCCCAATTGTGTTAGGCTAGTTGACAACTTTTTTTTATTTCATAAATAAATAGTCCATTAACATCTGAGAAATTATGTCGAAGTAACAGCATGTCTGCGATTAATGGTTTCGGAGATACGGTGCTGTGTTTGTAGAACTGCTGCTGGTTTGCCGAAAACGCTCTCTACAAATTCAAGGCACTCAGTGACGTCACACGGTGGTACAGTAGCGAAAAATTTATGGGCGTCTGGACATTTTTGTAATATCTTTGTTATTTGTGCGTTTATGTTTATAGCTGTTATAATGAAAGTTGTAACATTTTTTATATCTAATTTAATGCCTTATGTATTTTAGTAAATTTTTGTGGTAGATTTCTCTACTTTTTTCAAGTTTTCAAAACGTAATATTTTCCAAATCAATGACTTAAAATTTGTTTTGTTAAACATTTATAAGTTAAAATGGTTCACATTTTTTCGAAAATATAACAAAAACCTGTATTTTCACTTGTAGGACACAAGTATATCAAAAGAGAAGAAATAAACTGTTATAAAGACGATTGGGACAGAACAAATTGCGAGAATAACAAACAGGAGATCAGTATAGAATTCAAGGCCCCTTGAATTTATAAAAAAATTACTAATAGCGTTAAAACGTAATATCAATAGGAAATGTAGAATTTGTTTTTAAAAGTGATATAGTGGAGACTCTTTCTTACGTTTATTTGTTACTTTAACGGTTTGCTATTTAGCTTATGACGTCTAGGGGCGAATATTTCTATCCTTGTCTAAATGTTTTAAATGTTCAGTTTGGAATATTTCATTGGTTCTTGGAGTTTTCATTCTTTCCACACTACACAACACATTTTCATAAAATGGGAGAAGGCAGTATCTTTTTCGAAGCAATTCTTTGCTCAAATGGATACTCCATGTATGTACTGTAAATTTTATTTACTATTCTGCTATCGCAATAAACATTTTTATATATCTTTGTTTTTAAACACAACAGCATATATCGGCCTAAGAAGAAACAATCAGTCTGCAACAATACTGTCGGGATCCACTTTCCCAGATTTTAAAGTTTGTTGGATTGTGCGTTAATCGATTTCCCGTTCACTCGCCGCACTTTGGAGAACTTTCAAGTGTCGTGTGCACTTCACACTTCAGTTGAACGGTTCACTGAGAACGTCTTGCTTTGTCTAAATCTGCTTAAATCTACGGTTCATTAAGTTAGCTGATTTCCAGGAAAACTATCAAGGTAGTGTGTATGACCGAACACGGTAATTTGTTTAATTGCGAAACCCTATTACACTCTACATTTAACTGCGAACAGATTACAATTATTTCATATCTCTTTTATTAAATACAAAGTTATTGGTTCTTAATAGAGGTATTTCTTATGTCAGTATAAGAAAACATTTCTTTCTTAGTAATAAGATTTTTAATATACCTATTTGATTTATTTTGCATTTACGATGCTATTCTATAAATATAAAAAATCTACTGTTCAACTTTTGGTGAAAAGAAATAAATTATATAATTATTATTATCTTAATCCGCCTATGTAATAATATATTTTATTACATAGTATATTTATTTATCTGCAACAATAATTAATATAATATTAAAGGATATTCTACAAACTATTCTTAATGAAAAATGTTTAAAAATCCACTTTGTCCCTGACACTATGAGATTGGACAAAGTGAGCAAACTCCCATCTCAGAGTGCCAGCGACAAAGTGGATCTTTTAAGCAGTTTTCTTAAGAATAAGTTTTTTTTTTATGTGAATAACAAGATTTGGTAATTCCTTGTTTAATTCTTACTTTTAGGGCACGCATCAAAAGCGTGTTTCTAATGATTTTTAATTCTTATTTATTTTTAAGTCGTTTTATCGGATTCGAGAACACTTACATTTAATATTCATAAAATGAGAATGCTTGAAAATAAATACTCTTCCATCTTAAGTGGTCCGCCATATTGATTTTTTATTTTATTTTTGATAGTAACTATGCCGTCATCTTGGATCAATCGCTATGAAAATACTCTTTTATTCTCATTATAATTGATGAATTTTGTATTTACAATGCTAACTTAGAAAATATTCATAGTGAAAAATGTTTATAAAATCCACCAGCCGCAGGTACTCTGAGAAGGGACTCGAATCACTGCGAAGGGTCGTAGGTTCGAGTCCATTCATCAATGTAGGTATTAATTAATAAATATATAACCTGTAATATGAAAAAGCAACCGCCATCAAACCTGTTTTATTTGTTCTAAATTGATTTTTCAGGCATTTCGTCAATACTTTAATTTTTCAGTATGTTGTATATATCAATGAAATATTTCGTATTTATTTGCAGATAACCTTGAAACCAACAAGTGGTGATGGCCTAGTGCTGTACAACTCAGAACACGCCAGCGGCGACGGTGATTTCTTCTCACTCCACCTGAGGGACTACTTTGTCGAGTTTGCGTTCGATTTAGGTTCCGGAATTGCGTTAGTTAGGTGAGCGATTGTATTTATTCTGATGGCATTACAA